GCAAAACACATTCCAGTAGGTAGTGACCCTCCCCGCTTACCTCAGGGCAAAGGACTTCTGTGGCAACCAGGTCATTATCAGAGATTGCAAGAAAGGCTAGACCTTCAAAATCAACTGCTTAAATTTTATGCAAAGGCTGATTTCTAAACTCTGTAGACAGCTTTCCTAGATATACAAGACAACTCTTCTCCATAAAACCCTGGAAGGTCTATCTTTGTTCTAAGTATCTGAATAACAATGCAAAATGGAGGAGTTTGATTTATTTTAAGAAACTGTACTTCACTGTGTATTCTGTATCCCAACCATCCTGGGGAGGAATAAGGTTTATATAAATCATTTCACACGTTAGCATTTTTGAGTACCAGCAAACCATAGAGACATCTACTTGCTACTAGGTCAGTGTTATTTAAAAAAAAAAAAATAGTAAGGATCAAAATGCATCAAACTGCTCTGGATGCTGTAATTTATTTTTTTTAAATAAATAAAAGTTTAGGTAAAAAAACTAGGTGATCCTGCTATGCTGAGAAATAAGTGGATAAACTGCAACAGGTGATTCATGCTGTTAAATTAACAGTTTTAAGGAAATGAAGGAAGAAGCAAAAGATTTACACAAGTTGGGACTCTGAACCTTCTCAACGTGACAGCAGTCACCATATGGTTTGGACTAGTACTACCATGGTAATTGCCATCAGTGGTTAAATCTCAATTTCTTTTTATACCCCTTTAACTAATGCCCCGGCAGTATTTACAAATATCAGGTGGGCCTCCTGCTACCTGAGCGTGGCTCGCTGGGATCTCTAAATCAATGAGCACAGTCACTAATATACCAAAAACAAACCATTCCACGTCAGCTTTTCCCAGTACGTCCTTTGTTACCCGAACAGTGTTTTTACATGTTGCCGGAGAACCATAACTAGAGCACTCCAGCATAAAATACTGAACACTAATTCAGCTTTGATCTGGGGCAGTATGCAAATACCTCTTGGTAGATGGGAACGTACCAGATATCTGCTTTTCTGCCATACCCTTCTCCACGGATCACTTCAGGACTCATCCAGTATGGAGTCCCTGTGACCGACTTCATTCCCGTACCAGAGAGAGAGAGAGTCTGAAGTCGTTTGCTGGCACCAAAATCTCCAAGCTTCACATTGCCTGCTGAATCTCGCAGAATATTTGCTCCTAAGAGGGGGGAGGGGGAAGAAATTCAATCAATCATTATATTTATCTTATTAACGGCTCCTGAACTGTATCGGAGTGCACGGTAGCAAAACATATTGGGTTTCACTAATTTATTATAATCAGGACCCTGTGGAACCCATGCTCACAGAATTTGCTCCCCTGCCATAGCATTTTGTTCTGAAATCTTATAAATAAATATTTCATTTAGGAAAAGGTTTCTAGCCTTGGTTCCACAAGAAACCTCACAAGTGCAGGCCAAGCAGAGCTGAGTGTGTCATCAAGCTGTCAGAAGAGAGCCTGAAACTATGTCAGATATGTACGCTGCCAAATTTAATCTGTCTCTGCTCTGTTGATGCCCTTATTCCAAAGATGTATAATCCAGTGTATTCCCAAAATATGAGAGGGTTCATTGCTTTGCTGTCAGCTGGGAGCCCGCTGTTTGGTTCTGGCTCCCTGAATTGCTAAGAACCTACGTGCAGCTGATGCTGGCTCTAGACCAGCATATCTGTATTAACACTGCTTCTCAACCTTTTCTACTCATTTAGCTAGGACATTCTTCTCCTCCCTCAATTTAGCAATATGGAAAAGGCAGGGAGCCACAACTCCCTAAGATCTGTTTGCAACCCTTTCCTGTCTCCCCCATACCATGCGGCCCTCTTCCCCATGCTGAGAGTTTATGACATATGTGCCCTCAAAAAGAGTCATTCATGACAAGCCAATGGCTGGTAACAGAAATATTCAGCAAGGGCAGAGCCACATTCATTTCACAAAAAAGGCTGAATAACTTAGCTCTATTGATTTGGATCCAGACCTTGAATTCTGAGTTTTAGAGGTGTTTTGTAGTCTAAGTGATCAATTGATCAAATTTGTCAATATATGAGAAGAGGAGGACACAATACGGAAAATGAAGTAAATGGGTAAATAGAACTCAGAAAATCTTGTTTTGCTATCAGACTTGAGCTGAATTGCAAGCTTCTACATTCAGCATATCTGCCTACAAAGACCATCTTGCATTGGCATGAATACACTAAATCTGAATCCTCAGAAATGTAAGAAAAACGATAGTAACAAGAACTCACTGTAGGTACTAACGAGCGTCCATCACGCTTACAACAGGTTTCTACTGCATACGGCTGTTTCGTAAGCAAACGTTTTCAGTATTTATACATACTCTATTTGTATATTAGTAGGCTCAAAGCTACTTTCCCCCTCCAGTTTGGGGGAAAATGTTGTTAATTTCTGAAGATAAAGCTTTCTTGATGTAAAAACTGAAGCTAAGCCAGTATTTTGGCAGCACAAATCTAGCAGGCTCAGTTGCTTTTTCTTCACCTACAAAGTTTGAATGTATTTATCGCAATGAATGCAGAACTCAGACTTATTCATTACCTTTAATATCTCTATGTACAATCATGTTACTGTGCAAATAGTGAACTCCCTCCAGAATCTGTCGGGTGTATTTTCGGGTCACGTTCTCTGTGAGCGCTCCGTATGCTTTTAACTGGTCCTTGATAGACCCCTGCAGCCAAAGAGAGAAAACATTAAACAACGCATTGTTTTTAGCAACCTGAGTAGTCTCCCTCTAAAGCTAGATTTCTATTTCAGATTTTGTGGAGTCGAGTTTCATCCGACATTTAAGAGGTACAATGTTCTGTCTGAACTTCTCTGCATCACCTTACTGTAGATCCAGAGTTACATCTCGATCAAAATGAGAAGATTAAGCTGTTAATAGGATGTTAGAAGCTGGGGTGGCCTGGGCGCTAAGGCATACAGTGGACAGCCCAGAGGTCCCATGTTCAAAGGCCATAGCAGAACTGTTCATGGTGCAGCCTGTCAGACTCCAGTGAATCTGCTAAATACCTTGTCACAAGGACATGGCAAAGGAAAGGAAGACTGCAAGAAACAAAACAACATACAGAACTGTCATCAGACTATGAATTTTATCAATACCAAAGTGCTTATTCCTCTAAACAAGATTTCTCTGAAGGGCTGATGGTTAAGCAATGATAATGGGAATGTCTTTCAGCAAGACACTTTCTGCCTCTACCCCAACTACTTTATAAGTGACAGTCAAAGACCACACTGGGCGATGCAGAGGATGGATTTAAGCTAAAGCTATTTGAGGTCTAAAATGGAGCAGGATGAAGAAGCCGGAGATAAAATGTTAATTGCTTGGGCAGTTCATTTGACATAATTGTAATAGTTTAAAACAAACAGTATAAAGACAGAAAGAGACCAAATTAAATTGCTTTTAAAATTACATACTTCAGATACTGTCCCTCCAGAGCTCATAAAATCTAGTAAGTCCTGAAAAGGAGGCTTACTTCTCATTAAAAAATCATAATTTTCTTCTCTGAAATTCTACAAAGTAGATGGCTGCAATTCTAAGAAATATAAGATCAGAATGGATGAAGTATGTGCCTATCTTACTATAATTAGAGTTCTGCTTGTTCCATATTGAGAATAAGTACAAATCTGCAGTTGTCAGAGAGGAAAAAATACTTCCGTAGGGAAGCAGGCAGAGCGAGGAGATAGTAAGAGACACTCCGTCTGACAAACGAAAAAGATAAGCTGCCACAAATGTTGGCCACCACTGCTTTAGAACAAAGGCATGCTGATTGTGATCAGAAGTTTAAAAGGGTTGTTAAAATTAAAGATAGCTTTAAAAAAGAGTTTACAAAGCTCTCTTTTCAAAGACATCTGGTGCAAGAAATGCCCAGTCAGATGCATTCAATTATTAATCTACCTAAACCAGGCTTGTCCAACATGCGGCCCGCCAAGCCATTTTATCTGGCCCGTGGGAGCGTGGAGCCACGGTGGCGGCGCCGCGCAGAGTTGCCGCTGTGGAGTGCAGAGGCGGGCAGGGAGCGTGGAGGGAGCGCGGCGAGGCAGGCAGGCAGGGAGTGCTGTGGAGCGCAGAGCTGAGGTGGTGGCATGGAATGCAGAGCCGCCACCGTGGAGTGCAGAGCTGCTGCGGCGGTGTGCGGAGCCAGCGGTGGCAACGTGGAGCCGCCGCCACGGTGTGCGGAGCCGCGGCAGCGGCCGGCCCATGGGCCCCAGCCGGCAACGAGGGGAGGGGAGCTGCTTACCCCCACGGGGCCTGGGGCAGCGGCCCCACGTGGGAGACCAAGCAGCAGCCGCTGGCACTGCCGGCCCATGCCTGCCTCCTCACCCGCCCACTTCACGCCAGCCCCACTGCCCTGCCCTACAGCAAGGCAGCGCGTGCTCCCCCAGTCAGTCTCTTCCCGGGCACTGCGGCTCTCCGGGCCCGGCTGCCCCTGCACCGGCCAGCAGAAGTGGCAGCTGAGCCACGTGCTGCTCAGGATGGGACCGGTCAGTCCTGAGCGGCACAAGGCTCTGCCGCCGCTTCTGCTGTCAGGTGCAGACCTGGCCGGCCTCCTCCCATCCCCAGCAGCACATGGGAAGCCGGCTTCAGGTGCATGCTGCTTTTCCTGGTCGGTGTTGACCCGGTTCTGCCCAGGCGGGTCCTGCAGCACCATGTCAACCCAGGCATGGCACCGACAGGCCAGGCGGGCCCCAGGTTAACCCCGGCATGCATGCCATGGCAACCAGCACCATGTCAACCCCTGCAACTTCATTGGTGTCAAAGATGTTCATGATCCGGCCCCACATTCAAAAAGTTTGGACACCCCGACCTAAACTATTCTAATATACTATTAGTATACTAACATACTATTCTAATATAACTATTCTAAATGAATAAACAATTAACACAGTAGACAAGAGGCAGATGTTCCTCATCTAGCTGATCATCTTTGGCTGCCCATTTATTTGACATTTCTTGAACACCTGTACAGAGATGGTGAGCAGCGTTAGTCTGAAGTCAGGCAGAAGGTAGAGCGATGTGGCAGCTTGCAGAGACTACCTTCTCTTTTAACATCTGCGTGTGTGATCCTGCAACACTCATCCACCGGAGGCCTTGTCACCTCACCATCGCCACCCGCAATGAGCTCTCTTGCTTACCCCTGGCATGTACTCCATGAATATGGAGAGGGTTCTTTCCGGGGGATCCCTCAAGCAGCCATAATACTGAACAATTCTCTCATGGAGCAGGTTTTTCAGCAGCTGAATCTCACATTCAAGTGCATTTACTTCCTGAAAAGAGATGCAAGTAAACTAAGCACACTCAGGAGACACCTTGGCTAATAACAGTAATACCATTTTTCAGATTTCTGTCAACAAGGCCAGGATTTAAAGGACAAACTTTGGGGCAATCTAAATTAACTGGAGAATTACTCTGGAGACTGCATAAAGTTTACACGGTTTCCAGTCAGAAAACACTGGCGCTGGAAAGAACCAGAACAGTTCTGCAACAAGATCTGAGAAGTGCTCGACTGTAAAGTCTCCAGGAGCGCTCTGCAGTTATTTCCAGCCTCTCTCAACTCCAAGAGTCCTCACTCTCTTCATTTCACAGCTCATTAGATATAACACATCTGACAACTTAGTTAAGCATGGAGAAATTCAAAAGCCATGCTGTAACACTGGGTTACACGCTTTCTTAATTTATATCTGTCTACAGGAACCTTTAATACCAATTCTTACTTTACTCCAAGTAAGGACTACATTCGTAAATCTAAATGCATCAATTCCCCGTACACAGTTTAATTGTTTTTCCTCCCCAATGCATGGGAAGCAGGTAAAAAGGGCTAAAAAAGCTGTTTCCTGTTTGTAAAGTTTTGCTGTATAAGATTTTTAAAACCGGCTCTAAAATGAAATTTTACAGGATTACAGAGATCCCACATGGAAGGCCTTCATTAACATTTGCTATTTATCCACTGCAAATCACTTGTGGTACTCAAAAGTTTCCAAAGTTAGAAGAAACCTTTCTTGGTATGGATTTGAATTTGTTTTAAAAGAGATGGGAAGTGTGGTTGTCCACTGAACAGTAACTGCTGAGGGCACGAGGTCTGTGTTTGTCGTCTCCAGAGCAAACTCATTATTTACATTTTGTAAACCACAGTCACCCGACCACCGTTTCTTTCTTTGCTCCTATGCCTCCAGAAGAGTCGACAAACTGGCTTCAGTCAGTTCTGCACATGATGCACGAAGAGCTGGCGTAGCATCCAGCTCGTTCTCCTGCAGCAATAATGACTGCAATGCTAACGAATGGAAATACCATAATTCATTATCATCTTAACAAAACCAGCAGGCTCAACTTGAAAGGCAATAGATCTTGCGCACGGTCGGGCAATTATTTTAGGCGGAGAGCCACTTACTGAGTTTTGGCAAGCCATTGAGGGCTGCATGACAGGCAGCCAGGGGCAAATAAATATTAATTTTTAAAGTTTTTTAGGGGCTCTGCGGGCCAGATAAAAATGGCCTGGTGGGCCACATCTGGCCTGCAGGCCACATTATACTCACCCCTGATCTAGAGAGTCCCACTGGTGACACTTTTACATTATTTCTTTTCTGACTCTTTAAAAGGGCAAAATTCAGGTAAGACCAATCCAAGCCATGAGCAACAAAAGCAGTAAAATGCTCTTAGGGAAACAATTTGGGATCAGCTATATTGGGTCAATTGGCATTGGACTTAACCCTAAGCATGCACTTGTACTTAAATCATCTCCATTTAATGATGTTCTCTACCACAATGAACGAAAAGACATGTTAGCTCCTACATTTTTTATTCAACTACATCAATATTTCTGCAGGATGCATTTTCTTAAATATTAGATTATTATTTAGCTTTATAGACTCGGGTTATATTGAATTTGATAGTACTGTACACGTTATCTGCAGCAAGATGCATGGGAAATGCAAATCTCATGCGACAGAACAGTATAATTATTGAACTGATATCTATCATTTAGACATGTAGACAGATTAAGTGTGCAACTATTTGAAAGGAGACAAAGAGAAGAGAAAAGCAACATCTGTTTAGATCACACAGAAAACCACTCTCACAGTGTCCTTTACAAATACCTGTTTTAGGTCTCTTTCTTACCTTGCTGGTTTCTGGACTGTCAGGGTCAAACTGAACTTGTTTAACTGCCAATTCTCTTCCTGTATCAGCATCATAGCATAGATATACTCTGCCAAATGCGCCCTGACCCAGAAGCTTGCCAAGTCTCCAGTTAGTTGGAGCTCGTGGTGCTGAAAATATAAGTATGTTTTGTTTTTCAAATGAGCCTGCTACTCAGTTCAAGTAAAACTGGAATACACAGGAAATAACATTTCGGGGAAAAAAAGAAATATTTTAAATCAGAAGATGTCCATAAAAATGAGTTATAACAGTCTCCAAATCAAAAATTTAATCCAAACACTTTCTTAATAAAATCCATACTGCTTCCACAAAATATTTTTAAATATTAAATATAATATATGCCTAAGGTACCAAGAGCTAATCTGAAAAGAAAATGCATTTGGTCATTGTGTTGTAAGAGTGCCCTCTAAAAAAAAAAGTCTTATGATAATCTTGGACACCCAACTTTAACTTTGTCACCTTGTGGGCATGCACAACATGCTTTAACAGATATTTTGAGAATCTAGTTATTTCACGTACTCTCTACCCAGTTCTATACTCAGTCAGTCCTATCCTCTGCATTTCGAAACTTTTCTGTCAGAGGCAGCAACGTGTCTTTAACTTACAGCGGCTGGGTGGGCTGATGTCCATCACTGACAAGGTAGGATTGTCTATGTCACTTCCCCTTCTTCTCATTCGGTTATCTTCATACTCTGGAGTAAAGGTGCTGCTCCCACTGCTTGTACTCAATGAGTGATCAGTGGGGCTGAAACTAACTGGAGACCGGAAGCTGTTTCCTTGGGTCCTCCTGGCCCTTGGAAAAGTTTTACGACCTGCAACAGTGCACAGAAGGCTATCTGTGATAGTGTATTATAAAAAAACAGTATTAAGCAATATATATGAATATACACTGCATAAAGCAATCATTGCATAGTTCGATTTTTCCACAGAATGATATGACTGAATGATTATGTTGCTTGGTAAGCCTGCTGTGTGGAAGAGTGTATACGTGATGCCTCCACACTGCGATCAGACTTCAGCTTAATGGCTTGGTTTGGGACTCAAACGGCATTTCTCAAACAACAGACTAAAACTCCCACCCTCAACAAGGCACCAGGCCTTGCAATGGACCCACATCAATACAGACTACATCATCACTGGACCTAATAACCAGGAGTCCAATATCCAAGGTTCATTCTCCTGCAAGTCTACCAACATTGTATATGCCATCAAATGCTTACAATGCCCGTCCACTATCTACATCAGAGACAAATTCTACATGCAAGAATGAATGAATGGCGATCTGATGTCAGCTGCAGAAAGAGACAAAAGCCTGTCGCAGAACACTTCAAACTTCCTTGAACACTCCATCGCTGACTTGGGTTGCTGTTCACAGGCAAAAAACTCCAAAAACCCTTTAAAAACCTGTTTGACTGGGAAACTGCAAAACAAGAAGTCATCCACAAACTGGACTGTGTTAAGTATGGTTTAAACAGGGACTACAGATTTTTATCTTCTTACCTGGTTTAGCTTTTGTGACCCCCTTTGTTCCTATGGGTTCTTTGCTTGTATGCAACTCACACTACTCCCCCTGCCTTCCTATCTATTGCATTTGAATCACTCACTCCACTTTATACTCTGCTCTGAGCTGTTCCTTCACAGCATCTGATGAAGTGGATTTGGGTTCATGATAGCTTGTGCTTTATACATAACCTAGTTAGACCATAAAGATGTGTATATCTACCCTGGCTAACAGAGCCAGTTCTTGGTCCAATACTGGTAGGGACTGGGAGCTGTATACAGCTAACATCTGCAATTCCTGAGCAGTGAGTTTTGTAACTGAGACTCCTGTGCAACTTGAAGAAATCCAGTTCACTGCTCCCCCTGGAACGTGCCTCCCTTTCTATTGCTATATTAGGTTGTAGTCATTCCTGAAAAGCAGGCCAAAGATACCCTGGAGTTCTACTGTTACATCTAGGTCGATGTCTTCACTCAGAGGGTGGCTAATATTCTTTAAAATGAAGGTGAAAGAAAACCCAAAATCAGGAGCAAAAGAAAGAGAAAGGAAAGCAGGGACCAGAGAAGGAGAGCAAATAACGGATGACAAAAAGGCTGAAGTACTCAATACTTTTTTTGCTTCTGTCTTCACAGAAAAGATTAATGACGAGATGCTTAACACAACTGACATTAACAAGGGGATAGGAGTGCAGGCCAGAATAGGAGAGGAAGAAGTTAAAGAATATATTGGCTAGCTAGACACACAAGGTTCTTCAGGTAAATCTGATACCTGTTATTAGACCAACTCAAATAGTTGCAAAAATTCTTCTTTGCAAGCTTTCAGGTATAAATACCCTTCGTCAAGCTGAGGAAGCACCTGCAGCTGGTGTGTGCTCTTCCTGGATGGAATGAACACAGGTTTCCCTCGCCAACCACGGTTTTGAGTATCCATGGTTAATAGTCTGTATACCATTTTGGCTACCACGGTATACAGTTTTGAGTAACCACGGTTTTCCGTGGCCGCGCATCAGGCTGCCAACCCCCTGGTCTTGCTCGTGCCTCTCCTTCCTCGCTGCCCCACAACCCCTGCTCCCCTTGCTGGAGGTGGCCTCCAGCCCTGCCAGAGGTGCACGTGGTGGCAGTGAGCTGCCCCACCTGCAGTGGAAGGGAACGGCAGGCCCACTCGTCGCTGTACCCTGCTTCCCTCCCTCGCGACCCAGCATGGCAGGGAGCAGAGAAGCCCTGCGGGGATCTCCTTGCCCGCTGCTGCTCGCCCCGTGCTACCCCAGCGATGTGCCTCCTGTATCTGCTTCTGGTTTCAGGGGCAAAGACCCATGCCACTGCCCTCAGTGCAGCCCTGTGTGCAGGAGGCGCATCGCCAAGGCAGTGCGGGGTGTGCAGATCCCCACATGTCTTCTCTGCTCCCTGCCGCGCCAGGTCGGGGTGGGGGGGGGGAAATAGCAGGGCAGCGGGCAACAGCAGCCCCGGCCAGGCGAGGTTGTGGGAGAATCCAAGTCCGGCAGCTCGTCCAGGGGTGCGGGTGGGCAGCTCCCGCTGCTGCCGGGCTCGGATTGTCCCATGACCCGGCTTGGCCAGGGCCCCAGGGGCTGCTGACCGACCAATCGCACGCTGCTGGAGGTGGGCACAAAACACCCCCACCCCGCCATTCAGATGGCTGTGGGAGGGGAAGCACTGCAGTGTGCCGTGAGGGGCCGGCCGGCGCGTCCCTCCCCTCCCCTTCCTTTCCCCCTTGCCCGAGTAAGAGGCAAACGTGCTGGGGGAGATGCTGCCACTGCGCCCAGGGCATGCTCCATCCCTGCCCGCCAGCACGTACCCGCTATAACCTAAGTACCCCTAGGGGTACGCCTCTGCCCAGGTGACCACCCTGTGTGTTAAAGGTGTATAAAAATCACTTTTACTTACTATACTGTACAGTATTCACATCCCTAACCCCATTTTACCCATAAGCCTTTAGTTTTGCCAACCATGGGAACTTTCCAGAACCTAACCCCTGTGGTTGGTGAGGGGAACCTGTAGTAAAGAGGCCAGGGGCTGGTATGCATGCAAGAAAGGCAGGCAGTGAAGAAGTCAACTGAGGAGTCAGTGGGTGAGAGACAGGCTGGGGAGGGGAGAATGAATGTAGCTGATAAATAGTGGAGAGCTACCTGGAGCGTCAGTTGTTAGGCAGGTTATAATGTGTCATAATTATAATATGTCCTTAGACCAACACGGCTACAACCCATACCCCTGTAAATTTGGATAATTAGATGCATTCAAGACAGCTAGGTCTGGCTGGCAGCACAGTCTGCGGAGATGAGCAGCCAGCAGTGGTAAAAGAACAGGTTAGGGACTATTTGGAAAAGCTGGATGTGTACACGTCCATGGAGCCAGACATGATGCACCCCAGGGTGCGGAGGGAGATGGCTGATGTGACTGCAGAGCTGCTGGCCATTATCTTTGATGACGAGGTGACTGGTTTTGTGGATGCGGAAAGAGCAGTGGACGTGACTTTAGCAAGGCCTTGGATACAGTCTTGCACAACATTCTCATGAACAAGCTAAGGAAGTACAGGTTGGATGCATGGACTGTAAGGTGGATAGAAAACTGGCTGGATGGGCGGGCTCAGAGGGTAGTAATCAATGGCTTGATGTCTAGTTGGCAGCAGTATCAAATGGAGTGCCCTGGGGGTCAGTCCTGGGGCTGGTTTTCTTCAGTATCTTCATCAATAGCCTGGAAGATGGGATGCAGTGCACCCTCAGCAAGTCTGAAGACAACAGCAAGCTGGGGGGAGTAGTAGTTACACTGGAGGGTAGGGCTAAGATTCAGAGAGACCTAGACAAGTTGGAAGATTAGATCAAAAGAAATCACATGAGGTTCAACAAGGACAAGTGCAACGTCCTGCACTCAGGACATAAGAAACCCATGCACCAGTACAGGCTGGGGATGACTGGCTAAGTATCAGATCTACTGAAAAGGATCTGGGGACTACAGTGGACAACAAACTAAATATGAGCCAACAGTGTGCCCTTGTTGCCAAGAAGGCTAATGGATTAAGGGGAGTGATCCTTCCCCTCAATTTGGCACTGGTGAGGCCACATCTGGAGTCCTGTGTCCAGTTTTGGGCCCCCACTACAGAAAGGATGTGGACACATTGGAAAGAGTCTAGCAGAGGGCAACGAAAAAGGTTAGGGGGCTGAAGCACATGACTTGTGAGGAAAGGCAGAGGACACTGTGTTTATTTAGTCTGGAGAAGATAAGACTGAGGAGGAGATTTAATACCAGCCTTCAAATACCTTCGGGGGGTTGCAAAGAGCATCTCTAGACTGTTGTCAATGGTTGCAGATGACAGAACATGGAGCAATGGTCTCAAGTCGCAGCAAGGGAAGTTAGGATTACATATTAGGAAAAATCTTCTCACTAGGAGAGTAATAAAGCACTGAAACAGGTAACCCAGAGAGGTGGTGGAGTCTCCATCCCTGGACGTGTTTAAGACCCAGCTAGACAAAGTCTTGGCTGGGAGGATTTAGTTGGGGACTGTCTCACTGAGTAGGGCTTTGGAGGTCACTTCCAACACTAATTTTCTACGATTCTATGACTATAGCCACCCTACAATGCTTATGGAACTAGATGAAGCAATGTCTGAACCAGTTATGATTGCCTTCATTAATTAATGAAGGACTAGGGAGTTTGGAGACATTTGGAGAAGGGAAATATGGGAGCTCTCTTTTAAAAGGGAAAAAAGGACCCACATTACACACCGCACAGCTTAACTGTAATTACCAGAAAGATTCTAGAGCAAATTATTAAATAAAGTATAAGCAGTGAAAGGAAAATAATTACTATAACCCAACAACTCAGAAGCACAGCAGTGGAAAGGGATCTTGGAGTCATAGTTGACTCCAAGATGAACATGAGTCATCAACATGATGAAGTGGTCAGTAAAGTTAACTGCACTTCATCCAGCATTAGCAGATGCATGACAACTAGAACCAGGGAGGTGATGCTTCCCTTCTATGCGGCACTGGCCAAGCCGCAGCTGGAGTACTGCGTCCAGTTCTGGGCGCCCCACTTCAAGAGGGATGTGGCCAGCATGGAGAGGGTTCAGAGGAGGGCCACTCATTTGGTTAGGGGCCTGCACACAAAGCCCTACGAGGAGAGATTGAGGGCCCTGGATCTCTTGTAAGAAAAGGCTGAGGGGGGGATCTTGTGGCTGCCTACACATTCATCAGGGGGAGGGGAGGAGGGAAGGCAGCAAGGAATATGAGATGCTGTTTACCAGGGCACTCCTTGGAATAACCAGGAACAATGGCCACAAACTGATGGAGAGCAGATTTAGGTTAGACATCAGGAAGAACTTTACGGTGAGGGTTGCCCAAATCTGGAATGGACTCCCAAGGGAGGTGGTGCTCTCCCCTACCTTGAGGGTCTTTAAGAGGAGGCTGGACATGCACCTGGCTGCAGTCATCTAACCGCAGTGCTCTTTCCTGCACAGGGCAGGGGGGTGGACTCAAGGATCTGCTAAGGACACTTCCGACCCAAACATCTATGCATCTATGAACCCAGATTTGTCTAGAACAAGTCTTATCGAACTAGTATTTCCTTACTGACATTATAGTGGGCCCGGTGGATAAAGGAGTAACGGTAGATGTAACATACCTTTGTCTTAGTAGGATTTTTAGCGCTCTCCCAAGTGACACTCTTAAACACTTGGGAAATACAGTCTAGATGAATTCACCATTAGGTGAACATAAGGAGTGATTGAGTAAAAGCTGCATTCGGTGATTATCTGCGGTATGTTGCTGAATTGGGAGCACTTAATCAAGTGAGGCCCTCCAGGAGTCTGTTTTGCATCTGGTTCTATTTTCTACTTAAAGTAAAGACTTGGATGAAGGTCTAGAGCAGAAGAGTCCAACTAGCAGCCTGCAAGGAGTTAACCCGCAACCCCCCGACTCCTGGTCCAGGCACTGCTCCTGCTATTGCTGCCAGGGTCTCTGGGCTCCCCCTCCAACTTCTGCTTCTTGCACCAACCTCTAAGGACAGGCTGGTGAGATGGCAAAGCCCAGCCTGCAATGTCCGGAAAACCCATAGCACAGGAGTTTGGAGGGTCTGAAGCATCTGCCCCACAGTGTGGCACAGCAGGGGAAGCACATGGCCTGGGGTGTGCGCATGCCCCAGATGCTCGTAAGTTGGGCAGCCCTGGTCTTGAGACATTTACAATTTGCAGATGACACCAGGTTGCGTTGGGCTAGGTTACAAACAGCTCTGCCAGACAGGATCTAAATTCGCAATTACTTTGATACACTGGAAAAATGTTCTGACAAACAAGATAAAATTCAACATGCAGACACACTACTTTTAGGAAGTCTAATGCACAAATACAAAATGGGAAATAAATGTCAAGGCAGCTAAGATGCAGAAAAGGAACTGAAATTTATGTTACACTACAAAAAATTATGATTCAGCTTCATGCTGTTACAAAATGTCACTGTGGGAGGTATTAACAGTCGTGCTATATAAAACAGAGGATGCTGTTATTCCACAGTACTTGGAGCAGATGAAGACTGAGGTGAAATACTGCAGTCAATTTTGGGCACCACTCTCTAAGAAAGTTGTAGACAGATAGGAGAGTGTGTGTCTGGAGCAGAGTAAAAGCAATGGCAAGAATTTTAGAAGGCATGGGATATGGGGAGAGGTTGAAAAAAATAGGTTTGTTTAGCCTAAAAGAAGAAAAGATTGGAAAGTGAGGGGGTCATGATTAACTGTTTTCAAATCTGAGGAGGAAGCATTGGCATCTTTGGGAGAGGGTTTGTGAGTGACTGCTTCCTTTGGGCTTTGGGGTCTGGTGTTGTTCTCTTGTCATCTTGCAGTGTTGTGTGAGGGAGTGAGCTGCTAACAGCTGCTGAAACTTCAAGCTGTGAACATGTGTGAATAAAGGAGATGGGCTATCCTAGAAAAAAAGGCAAAATCTCATAAACATAAGCAGCAAGTGGAGGGCAGGCGGGGAAGAGACAGGGAGTGGAACTGGGGTGGTAGCCGATGCCCCTGCTTTGAAGTATAGCCTTATGGTCCAAAACAACTCTGATAAATTGGTAAAACAGTCTGAGCTCATTAGGATGAAATCAGAACGTGTGCTAAATACTGCATTTAAGGGGAAACTCATTTGTTTCCCAAATCAAGCACAAACGTAAAGACAAACTGGCCAGGCTTCAATATTGCAGAACAGTACCTAGGGGTTAACAATGGACCACAAGCTGCATATGAGCCAATGATGTGCTATTGCAGCAAAAAAGCCAACAGCATACTGCATTATATTAACAGGAGTGTTACAAGTCACGGGAACTGATTTTTCCACTTTATCTGGCACTGGTGGGGCCTCATCTGGAGTACTGTGTCCAGTTTTGGATGATGGACTTCAAGAAAGGTGAACAAACTGGAAACAGTCCAAAGAAGGGCAGCAAAAATTATCAGAGAACTAGAAAAATGGCTTACAAGGAAAGCTAGGAAGAATTAGGATTGGCCAGTCTGGAGAAGACAAAGACTAAGGTGAATTATATAAGAGGTCTTCAAATGCAAAAAGGACTGTTAATAAAAGAGATAGTGATTGACTAGTCCGTGTTCACCATGGAAAGGACGGGAAGTAATTTTCTTAACTGACATGAGGGAAATGTAAGTTGGATATCAGGAAGGACTTTCTAAATGTGAGGGTGATTAAGCACTAGAATAGGTATCTTAGAGCAGGGGTTGGCAAACTTTCATCAATGGCAGGCTGAATTAACACAGTTCAGTCCTAAAGCAAGTCACAGCCACTGCTGACCTGGCCACCACTGCTTACCGTGCTGTCCCTCTGATGTAGCTGCCAATTGCCCCAACTGGGGACTGCTGACCTGTGCTTTAGAGAGGCTTTGAACCTCCATTGTTGGAAGTTTCCGAGGGCAGGCTGCACAAACACTTGACTGGGATAGTTTAAACAGAAATGATCAGGCCTTGAATGGGGGGGTTGGACTAGATGTGGACCTCCCAAAATCATGCGATTCCATTAAAGGGAATGGTGACCAATTGTTCACCATATCCAGTGACAGTAACCCATTCAAGTTGCAGCAAAGAAGGTTAGGTTAGGTGGAAAGAAAACTTACGTTACATTTGTAGCGCTATGAACTCCCTTGTAGTGCTCTAGAAAGCAAGCATATAGATGTGTATGCAGTCTGTAGTGCAACAAAAAAAAGAGGTGGATCTGCCTCAAAAATGTTCCTTTCTCAAAGAGGAATTTTTTGGAAGTGCGGCATTTTGTAGCACTACATGTAAGACTCATCTAGCTGCATGTAGTAGTACAGGGGACCAAGGGGCTAGGGGGAGCAGATGACTCTGACAACCTGCCACAGCAAGCTGTCAAAGAGCCCTGCCAGCACCTCACTGTCATGATGCAGCAGAGAACTGGCGACAGCCAGTGTTGTCACAGTACTGCTGGTGACAGGAATAGCTGTCACAGCCAGTGCAAGATCAGTTGTTGCCAGTGCTCCAGTGGCAGTAGCACTGCAGGAAAAGCTACCATTGCTGCTGGTGCTCTAATAGCACCAGTGCCAGTGGGAAGTCACCTCCACTCTTCCTCCCCACAGGGGCCATGGCAGCTCTTCTTCCTGCTGCAGCACCCACGGGAACAGTTGGAAGAGCTCCTATACCTGTGGGACAGGTGGTGGTGAAACAAGCTGCCACCCATCATAGGAATGCCAAGAAGAGCCACTGATTACTGACAGCCTGCTGGAGAGGACAGTCTGGCAGTGATCAGGCTCACAGGCTGGAGTGCTACAAAGCTGTGCTCTCCAGGCAGGGGGCAATTTTCTCCCCACCCCCAAATGAGTGCTGCCACACATCTGTGCACCATCATAGCGCTCTATTTTTGTAGCACTGCAAAGTGCTGAGGCACTTGATAGTGCTACAAAGGAACGTGTGTCCACAGCAGAGAGAGACTATCAGAAACGGTTTAGGTATGCTTAATCCTGCCTAGTCACAGTACAAGAAAGGACTTGATGACCTCTTGAGGTCCCTTCTATCCCAATGCTACTTTGACTTCTATGATAGAGGATATTTAGGGAATTACATGCCCACTGAAGTTTCTTTCCAATTTGCATGAGATGAGGCTGACAGATCCCATGGCCATCTAGTTTGACTTTGGATGCTATAGCTGCCCAAATCCTAATCCTGTTTTGGAACCCATACAACATTCAGGTAAGCCTTACATAAATCATTTCCACACAGGTGAATTATGCCTTGGATAAACAAGTATTTCCATTTAAATGTTATGCTTTTCAATGTCCTTGCTTATCTTTTTACCATTTTGTTATGAAAACCTATCAACATGAGCTCTGGTTTATTTATCCTAATATCTTTTAAATACAAATTTTGGACTCTAACTTTAAATACCCAGGATAAGTATACTTCACACTTATGTCAGAGGGAATATTCATGGTTGGTTCTCATTTCTTCTACATTATGTAGAAATACAATTTTACAATATAAAGTAAGTTTTTAACCTCATTACTTTAGAAAAAAATGAAATATATTGAAAAGGTTGCAATGCCATGTACTTACCATCATTGTAGTCTTGATGATGATAAGAAATATGGTATCTTCGGGGATACGTCCCACCTTTTCCAAATTTCTCAAATATTGGGATGTCATACTCTACACAGGATTTAAAAACAGAACAAAACGTAATGCAGAGTTAAACATGAGGGAAATTTATGAACACAAACACTATGTGCATTGTAACATGTTACTGCCTATTTCTAAGTAGGCATAAAGTTACAGAAAAAATAAAAAAGTAAGCTTGCTCTATCATATAAAAAGGGGGGAAAAAGTCAATGTTAGAGTCTTATTTTTTTCTTCAATTAGCAATTTTTTTTTTTAACACACAGAAACCTATGACTTAAACAATTCCATTCCAACAATTTATAAGGTGGGACCTTTTTTGGATAAAACTTTTGGTTTTTGGCCCATGTGCCCTGCACAGAAAACAAAAGAACCACTGCGATTTCTCTAAAATTCCCTCTGTAAAGGCACCCAAAATGTATGGTATGGCCACATTTCTGGTCTACTTAACGTTTCTTGAGTAAGAAGGGTTTGTCCCAGTGTCCTCTGAATTCAGGTGTTTGCTTGGCTTTCATCCAGCACTTCATAGATGACGTGATTGTTTGCAGAAGTAGGATAGGTCATACAGTCTACTAAGACTGCCCAGAACTTCCTGTTATATAATCTAATTTTCAGTGACTTATTTTTTGCAAAGTTTGAACCATTTGGGCAGATATTTACCACAAGGCTGTCTACATTAGGAATTTCCCCCCAATAAAAGATTATGGCCACAAAAATTCAGCAATTTTGGAGAGCAAGTTTTGAGGAAAAGACTGTTCCAAAATTCTGGAGACCTTGTCTCTGAAATGCTCTAGCAATCCTAAACTTTGAAGATCTGAAATTTGGCAGTGGTGGTCTGTGTCCCAGGGACAAGCCTTTTATTATTCCATAAAAATCCATATCTATTATAAGCTCTACATGTCTGGTACAGCATGCTCTTTGTAGCTGAAATCTCTATAAATTCATTCCTACTGAGCATGCTCAAGCCTGTCACAGCTGCTACTGCTCATCAACCTGCGCAGGCACCTTTCCTTCAACTCATGCGTGATCAGACCATGCACACAGTTCTTCAGAACAGCCGAGCAAGCTCCAACCCATGGCTACCAGTGCCTAAGGGCTTTCCCTGCAATGGCTACTCCAGGCAGGGTACCAGAACTGAACTCCCTGCCCTGAGCACTGAGTCAGCACGGAGGAAGCAGCCAGCTAATTCAAATGCAGAAGGGACAGAAACCAAATGGAATGTAGAAGGAAACAACTAGATTGGAAAAAGGAGGCTGAAAGAAATGGTACTGGAGATGGGTCAGAAACAGACTGGGAGGGGCATGAAGAGAGGGGAGATGGGGACTGAGAGGCAGATGGCTGGGTGGGGAAGCTCAAACAGCACAGGTGCTTGAGCTAAATCTAGAGGCAGTGTGAGGCCATAAAATGCCATTTCTGTTTTCTTTTCAGACTGCTTTAAGGAAGTACACATAAAAACTATGTAGAAAAAAAGAACATAAAGGATAAAGACAAATTATTGGAAAGACCATAATTTAACTTTGCACAGGGAACCTTAGATGTATGTATTAGCACATGGTCTTTAATTACATGACCTTAGAGTGTTTTCTACAGGACTCTCATCCTGTTCAGTCCATAAAATGGTCCAGCTCTGGGGATAGATGAAGGCTGTATAGTAAAGAGGGTTCACATATGAAACTCCTTGGTCTCTTATTGCAGAAGCTGAAGAATATGTAAGGCAGAGGATGACAGAAAGACTATGCATCTAGGTCACATAGTTAACACAGCTGAATGCTGTCTTGGCAAACTGGATACTACTCCAGCTTCACCCACAGACTTCTGGCATGAGGATACCCAGATCAAAAATAAAAACCGTTGTCTCCGATTAACAGAAGTTCTGGGCACACACAGCTATCAGCAAAGTCAATAGGAACAATTCCTTAAAATACAAGTAGTACTAATAACTGTATACTGAAAAAAAATCAGATGCAAGGCATCTCAAATTGGGCACTCATGATTTACAGATTTGATGGATCATTCCCTATTTGTAACATGGGGAAACTACCCACTTCATCTCCCAGAGGTGATACAACAGCATGACAGCAATAAAACAGTGCATGTGAAAATTAACTGTACTAGCTTAAATGGTGTGTAGAATGTATCTAGGCCACACATTAACCAAAGAGAAAAGAAAATATTAATTCAAGTGTTCAGTAACTGAGCACAATCCATCCTGTGCACTGAATACATAAAAGAACTTACATGACCACATACTAATTTTCTTATAAGTAAAGACTACCATAATGCATAACATAAGGACAAGAGGACTGACTTAAGGTGGCATAAGGAAGCTGAATTCTGGCATAGCCAAACTGTTCATTTAGAACTAGACGTTGCAACTTCAATGCTCATTTAATAGCATTTTTGTGGGATACTATTTCTAATAACTTGCTAAGTACTTTAAAATCCCTAAAGATGAAAGTGCTTTGTAAATGCACATGAATATTTTGACATTTTTTCAGATAACAGACACTATTCGCTTTCTCTTGCTCCTTCAAGCACAAAAGTTCAACAGACACTGAAAAAAACAAATTTCTGATCTATTGGACCAGCTTAATTATTAGCCAGCAAACTTCCTATTCCTGAGCTTCACCAGGGGCATGCTGCCTCAAAGTCATTTTCATACTTAGCTAGCTGCAGCTAGTCTTGAAGGGTGTACAATTTGGATTCAAGCCAGGACTTGTTATGAAAAGAGTGTCAGATGTCAATTGATTGACGATCTCAAAGTTAGGAGAATTGCATTCTTAAACCTGGACCCCACTGCTCCACCAGAGCCTAAGCCCACCAATTTATATGGCACAGCATAAAGTCCACCTTCTCTGGTATTTACGTGAGTTGGATGGGATGAGGAATACACATTTTCATCCATCCCATGTACAGTGATTTCCTGTTAGAGAAGTTAAAAGCACTTTACAAAGTGGGGGATCTTTATTTTACAGGTGGGAAAAATGAAGGCTCAAAAGGAGATTAAATGAGATCAAAGATACACAATAATTTAGTGATGGGCCAGGACAACAGCCCAGGTGCAACTCCCAGTCCTGATGCCCTAATGCCCTGGATAAGAGTGGTGCTAACTTTGAAAGAAAAACAAGAACGTGATACTGTGCATCTCATTCTGGGATATGCTACTTACAGAACACACACAATGAATGAACCTGGTGGTTTTACCTACCTGAGAATTCCTGATGATTATCTGGATAGCTCTGAGCGCGCGGCATCCGAGATTTGGGGTAGCTGTCTCTAAAATTGTAAAAACAGACAATATCTAAAATGTTATTGCAGTTAGAGTAATAAAGAAAGTAATTAAAATCTGTTTTGCAACTGTTGCAAAGAACCTAACTTTTAAATACCAAAGCTTATAATTGATACTTATAAACGGATGCATCTTGCTTGATTTCACAGAAATCAAATGTCATTAGCTTGCAATAGGAAAGGAAGCAATAGACTGGTACTGAGCAATGTCATGTGCAAATATATGAAGTAACACCTATGCAGCCACATGCAAGCTCCTATCTGCCATTTTCATAGCTAAACAAAACATTCGTTACAGGATGATATCTTTATTGAGAATTCACGGATCCTGTTTAAAAAAATTTCCCAAAGAAAAGCAGAGCCTTTCTATGTTTTCTTTGTACATTTCCTTTTTCCTTTCATGAAAATGAAGTGATTTCACAAAATTAAGAGCAATTTTTACGGAATCATTTGAGTGCTTTTCCTCATGTGCCTGTACACTTTCTTATATAGAAGTGTGTGTAAATCCTAGTTCCCAAGTAGGAATGAATGAGATTCCCAATTAGAAAGAACGACCAATTCCAGGATAGCACTTCCATAACAAACCACCTCAGAGACTTCTTTTTCCTAGGAAGATTTTCTTAACTAGCCATTAAACAACAAAAGGGCAGGCTGCAAGCCCACCGCCCTACAAGGAGTCTTGGAATAAAGAAAGCAGTAAACTAGGGAAGGATGACAAGAGGATCTCTGGCTACATTTGGGCAAATCAGAACATGTCTAAGCAAAATGTGTTTTCATGGAATATTAGTCAGTCCAATCCAGTTTGCACTTCTCCAGGGGAAAAAAAAACAACCCAAAAAGGGGGTAAGTAATAGAACGGGGTTAAAAAAATCTAAATGAGGAAAATTTAGTGTACACATACCAAACAGCAAATAATTATTTTTCAAGTCTTGAGGTAATCTCTGTACCCTAGATAGCTCATCTGTAAAACAAGGATCTCGCTCAACTCAAAAGATGATAATTTATTTAAATGTTTGTGAAAGAGCTTCTTGGAAAAAAGGTACTATGGAAGGGAAGAATATTAATAATTGTAGTAGCAATTCACTTCCTTCTAAGGAAATGGAACACACACAAATACTATACAAATTTCCATTAGAAGTCTAAAATGTGTGCAACCACCTAGCCATAATACAAATCTCCAGGAAGAAAAGAAGGCACTGGAAAACAAATCATCTTCCCTAACACTGGTAAGAGCAATAACTTGTCACTAGTTGAATAAGCGTGATTAAGAGAGTTAAAAAAAGTATTATCTAGTGAGCTATCATTTGCTCTTTAACACTTCCAAGCTTCTGGCATGCATCAATCACAAAAGCTTTCAAAAATCTAGTCTTCATGTGCCATTCTGTAGATAATCAACCAATGATTTCACATCTTGTTTTAAAAAATATGGACCTAAAGGGATAGGTGCTTTAATTCTGAAGCAATACCCACTATTTAGTTTGTACAATCCAAATAAAACAAGTTTATACTTCATACCATAAACTTAATCTGATGACTGTATTCAGTGTGGCAACAACAAGTAGCTAGATTTCAGAGGGACTGATATAGTTGCTGTTGTGCCAATATTTTGACTCACAAGACTACAGGCTGGTTCTGAGTCTATCTAGCACAGGGTTCCTGGACTTGGAAACTAGTAGAAACAACCGTGAAGGACAGAAGGCCCAGATGGTCTTGTTACTGCCCTGCTAAGATGCATAGAGAGCTGCATATCATAAGCAAAAATCAAATGGAAACTGATGTCTTGGCTCAAAACATTTACACTTTCCTGGTCCAACTCCATTTCTAATACAGGCAAGGAACTGCTATTACAACTTTGCAAGTAAAAACAGACAGAAGTTCCTTGGGTGCTCTGGACATGTTAAATTAGTCTCTTACCAGAGAAGAATAGGAAGGTAAGACTTTTGAAAGCATATTTATAAATTCAGCAGCTTTTCATTCATCCACAATTGATAATGGACTTGTGTAGTCAAACTAAAAATCACTTACATGTAAAAAACAGCACAAAAAAAGTAGGCAAGTTTAACTGCCTACCCTTTTGAGGACAACGCGAACATTTTACATGCGCTGGAGGGAAAAACGTTTAACTAATTTATATGATGCTCAGCCACAGCCCTAACCACTATCCAAAATTTAAAACGCATTTTTAAAAATATCTAGAATATAATTAGTTGTTGGATTCAATTTTCTAATTTCTAGCTACCCTATTGATAGACTTGCTCCCAGAAAAATCAACACGCTCCACGTCACTGTAACACAAGAACCTACTGGATCATCCTCCCGCGCTCAGTCCTGCAATGACTTAAATACTGGCCACAAAAAAACAGACTCTACAAAATGGCTGAAAGGAAAACCAATTCATTCACAGTGCCGTTCTTATCAAATTAAGGAAGACGACCTTCACTGGGATTTGCCACAGTTATAACTGGCATTTGTACAAGCCTGCCTGGTTCAACATGGGGAACATCAATGTATTTGTTTTTAAAAAATGTGTACTAAAATTAACAGCAACACTTCAAATATTATGCTCTACCACTTTGTGCACTTATTGTTTAAATAAGTTACGATTGATTTTTTCTTCAAAATGATTTTTCAGAAGAGTGACGCTGAATTTTAAAAATAAACTTTAAAAACTCTATCCACCCACCCACCCACGTGCATGCACCATATGGATAGACCTGAAATGTTCCATAACATGTTCCAATAATACAATCCTACATTACCGCATTTACTAAAATGTAAGATGAGAATTTTCCACCATAATCAACACAGAAGAAAAAAGCCCCTCATCTTACATTTGCCTACAAGAAAATCAAATTAAATACAATGCCCATCTTTGAGCTGCTGCTAAAAGCAGCATGTGCACAGTAATGAAAATCAACTCTGAAGTTGATTAAACACAGCCAGCACCAAGCAGGACTAAAATACAGGACCCATAGTGGGCAAACATGCTGATGGGAACCTACCATAAGGATAGGATAATGCCATCCATCTGAATAAAAGATATGGTTGTGCCCATTGAGTGCCATCACCCTCGGCGCTGACTCTTTTCAAGTCATGGGGGGAAGAGGCTGCAGGAGGAAGTTGGGGGAGGGGTAGAGAACAAAGGGGCTACCTGACCTGCTGGAGAAGTGGGAGGCTGAAAAATTCAAGACAAGCCTCCAATAATTAGATTCCAAACCTGGAAAATTATATGAAATACATTTTCTATATATAGAATCTAACTATGGGGGGGAGGGTCATCTTATAATCAGGGTTGTCTTATATTCAAGAAAACGTGATATATAATTCTAATATAATAAAAGCCTGTCTGTCTATAACACTTTGCCCAACTGCGCATGCCCCAATTCGCTGTGCGGTCCAGGCGGCTGGGGGCAGAGCCAACTAAGTTAAAATGGGTGCCCCTCCACCGGGCCTCCTGCAGCCTCCCATACAGCAGCTCCCTCCGCCCCACCTCCACAGAGGCAAAAAAAGTAAAAAAAAAAAAAAAAAAATTGCCACGAGCAGTTTACAGGTACCGAGCCCAGCTGAAGAAAGGCAGGAGCCCTCCTGTCGGCCCCACCTCCTCCTCCAGCCTCAGTGTAGCTGCTCCCTGTACCCCTTTTCCGCACATGGGCAATCAATAAATTGAGAAGATCAAGTTAATAGCAGCAGGGCCAGCTGAGAAAAAGCGGGAGACCCTCCTCCAGAGCTGCTGCAGGGCCTCAGCGCGATGGAGAGTGGGGGAGGAGGAAAGTCTTTGGAGGGGAAGGTATGAGGCTGCCTCTTCACATGAGTGTGCGCGCGCATCTGTGCTCATCTGCGTGCATGTCAGGCCATCTGTATTCATCTGCTTCTGTGTGTGCAAGTCTGTGCGTGTGCATGTATCTGCTCATGGCAGCCAGGCTGTGTTTGGGTCTGTGTCCATGTGCAGAATAAGTGAGTACAGTGTGTGCCCATCTGTGTGCACGTGTGCACATGAATCTGTTCATGGCAGGAGGGAGAGTGTATTTGTGTCTGGGTCCATGTGCAGAGAGTGGGTAGTGTGCGTGCGTGTCTGTGCACGTGTCCATGCATGAGTGCAAGTCCATGCATCTGTGTTCATGGCAGGGAGAGTGTGTGTGTGTCTGTATCCATGTGCAGAGAGTGAGTAGACTGTGCACCTGTCTGCATGTGTGCGTTCATGCGTGCATTCGTGGCAAGAGGGAGAGTGTTTGTATCTATGTGTCCATGTGCAGAGCGAGTAGAGTGTGCACCCATCTGCATGTGTGTGCATGTCTGTATGAGTGCATGTGTGCACATGCATGCGTCTGTGTTCATGGCAGGAGGAGAGAGTTTGTGTCTGTATATCTATGTACAGAGAGTAGAGTGAGCAGTAGCGTAGTGAGTGAGTAGTGTGCGCCCACCAGCATGAGCTCATGCGTGCGTGCATCTGTGTTCATGTGCAGAGAGTGAGAGTAGAGTCTGCGCCTGTCTGTGTGCACATCTGCGTGTGTGCGCCTGTATGTGTGTATATGTTTGGCCATAGCAGGATTTTTTTTTTGGGGGGGGGGGGGGAAAGAGAGAGGGAGCAGGGAGAAGAGGCAGCATGTGCCCCCACACCCCCAGCCCAGCAGGGTCCCCCCAGCTTCCCATGCCAGCACCAGGAGAGGAAGGGGCCCTGCTCCGCCCCTTGTAGCCCAGCTCCTGGGGAGAGGGGACCTCCAATTTTGTGTTTGCCCAGGGTCTCAGTACACAATTCACCTCTGGGCATGGGGCCGGACACAGAGCGGCGGGGGGGTTGGCACAGGGCCAGACATGGAGCAGCAGGGTGTGGGGGGGCAGCTTGTGCACAGCTGGATGCGGAGCAGCAGCAGTGCCAGACAGTGGGCAGCAGTGGCGGGCGCAGCGGTGGCGTGGAGTGGCGAGTGGAAGTGCTCTGTCCCTGCCTGCCCCTCCCCACCATCATTCTTGACGGGCAATTGGCTAGTCTCACCTGTAATTCTATATCTGCAATGACCTGTCACCTTCCTGTTAATGTTAGATTTTAACTGCTATATCATCTGGGCAGCAAACAGTGAAGTACAGTATTGGGTAAACTGCTAGGAAAACAGCAGTCTCTTTTACATTATGATAATATAAAAATGTAAGTTGAATGGAGTTGGTCATTGTTTGAGAACAGGCCCAATGCATGAACCAGCCAAGCACAGATTTAAAGTAAATCTTTGCAAATGATGAAGCAGCGAGTACAGAATTTGATATTTTTAAAAAAATCTTCAAAACAAACAACTCTGCCAATCTGTTATTCTTCTTTTGTAGATTTACAAGCAATTTCATCTCAATACATTGTTATACTGGTATATTTTTAAATCAGAAAAAAAAATGCACCTAAAAGTTGTTACTGAAAGTGAAGTAATTATATTGGGATCAGTTTCTTTAAGCAGTCTAGAAATATTGAAAAAGAAATTCTTACCCATCTAAAGGGCTGTCAAGGGAGGGGCAGCTTCCTGAGCCAGAGTTCTCAGGACTACTTAAGGACAATGGATCCAGCATCTAGTGACAATCAGAATAAGTGACAATTTTTATATTGTTTAAAAGCCTGGTGGTTCTTAACATCACATTTTACAGTTTAAAAAAAATGCATCATCTTAATCACAGAAGCCAGCAGAAATCTGATGTGATTGAAGTCCTATTTGTTCAGAAGTGTCCTGTCCCAATTCTCCATCTCGTGACAGCTGAGCTGCTGCCGTTTATGTATTCAGTGTGTGGAAATAGCAAATGACAGTAAAAAGATAAAAGAAATGTATATAATACACAATATTAAGTGGAGCAGGAATAGCACCTACACTGAAGTTGCTCAACAGCATCACATCTCTGTATCAGGCTGAAGCTTTCCAAAAAGCCTGAGCAATAATGAGGCTGCTAAAGGATGGCTAGTGATGCTAATGTTTACATTTTTCCCCCAAAGCAGCTGCAGGCATAAGGCAGGAATTCAGAATGTGGCCAGGAGACGGCCATAGATGTGCCTTCCGCAACTTTGTCTTATTTGGTCAAACCTGAAGGGTTGTCAGAGACAGCAGAACTTGAATGATGTTCATTGCGTTCAGTGTTTGCCTCTTAACCTTCTTAACAGTCCAACTGCCCAATACATGTCACTAAGTAAAATTGGTCAGAAAAGATGTAGGGGTGAGATGCAGGAGGAGGGGCTCATGGAGCTCACTGAAAACTGATGGACACGAAAATCCAAATGGAAAACTTCTGTGGTTTTGACAAATAAAGGCAAGTTTCAGCTGACAGTGGACAGTTTTTACAATCAAATGGGAAACCCAATTTTTTATCAATACTAACCCAGACTGAAAATTTGACTGCCTCTACTCGTGAAATGTATAAGAGCTCCTGCATTAATTACCCAGAACTGAATCTCTAGGCCAAACAAAATGAATCACTATGCCCTTTCTCCTGCTGCTCCTCAGGAACTCTGAACCAGTCTTGAGCTGGAAGTCAGAGTAAGGTCAAGTCTCATCTTTCATACTCACTGGGGATGCGTGTGTATTTTGTATCACAAACTTTACTGTTTAAGGCCTAATAAAAAAGGCAAGTATCAGAACTCCCCTTCTCCCCATCTGACAGCTATGCACCCTTCTCAGGGCTAAATGAAAAAATGCTAACTCTGTAGTTAGGCTGACACAGCTGCTCTATAGCTAACGGGGTCTATGGCACAGTACTAGAGGCCTGGCTAATACACCATCCAAATTAAAAAGGCGATGGCCCCAAAAAAGGGATTTGCACTCTAGTACATGCCTGACAGAATGAACCTCTGTAAGAGGGGAGTTACACAAGTGAGAGTCTAATGGTCAGGTGCCTCCCCACATCTGGGTGACCAGTCCAGAGAGGAACACAGTCTCCTACTTCTTGCTAGCTGGGTTAATCCTATAAGCTTTAGCAGTAGATTTCTACGTAGCAGATCTGAATGGCTCCAGCTCACACATTCCTTGGTCTCTGATGAGAACAATCCTTATGCACATCTGTGTGAACTTAACTTAGCCGAGATCCACAAACTGACTTTAATAAAGGCCAATGATAATGGTTTTCTGGAAATACACACCTGGGCGAGGTCTGATCAGGTTACTGACTGGCAGGGCAGAGCATCGGACACACCTGACTGCAAGTCAGGAGGTCTGGGTTCTACTCTCCGTTCATTTACTAGCTTGCTGTACCTCCTTGCATTCATCTTCACTTTCACTCTTTGTCTCTCAACTACTCAGAAGGTAAGTTCTACGTGCCACGTATTGTCTTATTATATGTTCTCAAGGAACTCCTAAATGTGACTGAAGTTATTATGCATCACTATAATATTAACACGTGTAAAAAGTAATATACGTGCTACTATAAGTTACTTCAGCTAGGCTTCCCTTTTGTGCAGAAAGGATACTGATATTGAGAGAACAGGATTTTTGTATGTTCTAGACACCTTACTACCCCGCCAATGTGGCAGATATCAGAGGGAGAGAATGCCATGCACTTGTGCACCTTCCAGATAGAGGTGGTAACAGGTAATAGGTTTATATTTCTTCGCTTCCTTAAACCATTGAACAAACACATTGTCAGGATTGCATGTAGTAATAGATAAGTCAATTAGTTGGTCACACTGTGTCAGGTTCTTTAATCAAAGGGAAACAAAACAAAAAAGAAAAGAAGATATTTACTTGATCCATGCTTTCTGGAATGAACTCGCCTTCGCTGTTGATACTTGTGAATGATCCATTTCGGGCCACCTGGTGCAGTTCATCGGGAATGTATCCTGGGGGAGGCGAGCTTCTATCACGGGTATTAGAACCTTTACAGGAAAAAAAAAAAGAAGAAAGTTAGTTGATGAACACTTTACTGGAATTGATAATTAAACACAAAACCTACTGGCCTAAGTTTTTTTCTTTGGGGGGGGTGGGGGTCGGGTCGTTTGTTTTTTTTTTTTTTTAATACAAAGACAGAAGCTTTGCTTCCACAACTAATGCGACTATTCTCACAATCTTAAAACACTAGCCATTGCTTTCATAGGGACTGATGCTGGTAAACTGCTGAATTACTAAAGATCAGGCAAGGGACTTGAAAATCCCCCAAAGTGCCCAGTTGGTGTCAACTCCTAAAATTCAGGCCAGAAGGTTAATTCATTTAAAGATCTATTAAATGCCAAAATACAGCTGGCAAATTACTAAGCATGAACTGTGCCTGAGCAGATCAACGTGCAGAATCTGAGCTGATGACAAATTAAGTACTGCTAAACATTATGAATTAGGACTGCATTAGAAAGTCAGTCTACCTACTGAAGGCTTGGACATGTTTCTTAGGTACTTCAGTTTTCTGGCTACAGCAGTTGAAACATTTGTTGTTTCCTATAGCAGGGAACAACAGTTTACTAAATGAGGTTTGACAAATAACTGCAAAGACTGTTTTGCTTTATTTATTTAGCTTCTTTAGGGCATTAAGAGGTAAAAATAAAAACATGTTTTGGCCTGTTTTAATAAAGAGTTACCAGAAATACTTATCTAATCTTCCCTGCTTTTTCTAGGTAACCTCGAGTGGGTATCTGGAATCTTTCTCCTCTCAGTTGCTTAGCTTTCATTCTTGGCTGCTTCAGTGTTGTCATATTGCTAGTTTTCAACTCACCACACACACACACACACACACACACACACACTCTTTTTTGCATCACAGAAATTAAAGGAAGCACAAGCCAAACTTGTTTCTTTTTTGTAAGTCACTTAAAACACCATCAGAAGCACCATTAGACAAGCATGTAAGGTTCTTTGGGTAAATGTGATATCTTTTATTAGACCAAATAAATGGTTGGAAAAAAAGTTCTTCGCAAGCTTTCGGGCACAAACACCCTTCTTCAGGCACAGGGAGACTCCCTCTCCAATCTCTCAGTTCTAATCCTCAAAGGGAATTTACAAAACACCTTTCGTAGATGGGCCTATGAACTTCACTTCATAAATCTACTGGATGCAAAAAAATCACTGACTTAATATAGATACTGGACATATTACAACCTGCCTGACATCCAATTCGCCAGGTACCTGCCTGAAGCTTACTCTTTGCACCCCTTCACCACCCTCCCCACCCCCCATCTCTACCCATTGTCTTCCAAACTTTCATTCATTTACATTTTCACAGACTTCTTGTCACACTTTTAGCTTCTTTTCTGCCTTGGAGAACTCAGAACAACAGTAGTCTCGCAATACCTGAAGAAGTGTGTTTATGCCCAAAAGCTGCAAAGAACTTTTTCCAACTACTCAGTTGGTCTAATAAAAGATATCACATCTGCCCAAAGTACCCTGTCTGCCTATGTCCTTAGATCAACACAGTTACAACCAACAACCCCATTTGACAAGCATAATATTTTACCCTGTCGTCATCTGGAAATTGTGAAAAATCTAGGTATTTGTTTCTGGATGGAACTATGCACATGTTCCATTGTATGGAAACAGGGATATAATTCATTCATAGACAGACAAGCAATTTTAACAAACAAATGAAACAAAAATTCCTTTAAAGTAAAAAATGGGGTGTGTACTAGTTTATAAAAGCCCCAGCTCCTAAAATTGACTGCAAGACTGTCATGTTTCATTTTTTTTTAAATCCATGTCTGTTAGTCACTCACAGCAGAGAAAAGTTTGAAAACTTGAAGCCTAAAGCTTAAAATGAGAAGAATTTTTTTTTTAAAAAATTAGTCTCATCGTATTTTGTGGCCCAACTTAATGATTTTAAAACCTTAAAGTTGACATTTAAAACAGATGCCACTTGCAGCAAACTAGTTTACAAATTGTTACTTAATACTTGGCTTATATCATTATGAATTTGTATTTATTATGGTAGAGCTGGAGTGGTGTTGTAGCTGTGATGGTCCAAGAATTATGCAAGGATTGTTGTGGGTGATACCTTTTTTTGGACCAGCTGCATGGTTGGGATATACTTGGACAGGCTTCAAGGTGAAATGTTCTTCATCAGGTCTGACAGCCCTCAAGACCTGAGTCCTCCAACCAATAAAAGATACCACCCATAAAAATCCTCACCTCTGGCATATTTATTATTATGGTATTTAATTTTTAAAGAGTCCTGAATGCTCAGTCCCAGAAAAATAATTTAACTAAGCATCTTGCCTACAGGAACAAAGGTGGTCACCATGCTGAATATTTTCTATGTATAATAATCACCGTCTCCTCAGCAAATTTATGCACATACAATACACAAGCACAACATGTAATTTAGAATTAAACCAACTGAAACACATTACTATTATTTGTTCAATAATTTTTTTAGAGAAAGGAAATACAAAGAAGTCTCAAAATTAACCTTCACAAGTTAACCTGGTGGTAAAACCACAGTTTTAGATGGAGATACTTTGGAAACAATGTCAAACAGTTTAAGAATGGAAAGCTCCATTTAATGACAGCCAGGAAAACAAGCTGCCATTTAAATATGGATATTTTGTTCAGAAGCTCAATCCTCAACCCAATAAAGTCAAAGGAAGCATTAGCACTGACTTTTATGGACACAAAAATTAGGATGTAAAATGAACAATAAAAGAATTTTAGGTAAAAATTGTGGGAAAAAAAATAAAATCTTTTTGTCAACTTTAATAATCTAAAGCTGGTCCTGTTTGTTTTCTTTCAATTGGGATGGAGTCTTTAGTTTGCCAGAGCTTTCTGCACTGACTATTTACATAAATTAAACAAACTTTTTTTTAATTCTTCCCCCCCGCTTTGTTTTCTAAAACTAGTGATTTAGTGTAATATTACAGAAGTGTGCCAACTATTTTGCAAGTATAAAGCTTCTACTATAAAACATCAATACATATCTTATGCTGAGAGCTTAAAAGGAAAGCTCTTATACTTCAAGTTACTACCATACAGCAGTTTACCTATTACAGGAAGCTTGCTTTTTCTTTCTGTTACTCCAAACACTGTGTTATTCAGATCTTCCAGTGATGAAAGGGGTTCCATGTTACTCACACTGGGAGACTAAAAATGAGAACATATTAAAATAATTGCACATTTCTGAAAGCTAGACACATCTTTGTGTTAAGAAAAAATACAAACTTGTAAATGCTATAACTTTTTAAGAAGGAAAAGAGCTGCTTCCTTGCAGTTCATGTTTCGTACAGCTTCATCAACAGCTTATTCACACATTTGCACAGATAAACTTTAAACTAAACTACTCTGGGACAAAAGTTTACATGTATAATTGGTAACTTAGGACTTCTTTCAAACTTGAACATTTCAGTTCCTATCAAGGGAAGTTTTCTGTTCATGAGAGATGGCATTTGATTTCAGCTTGAAATGTAATTATTAAAAAAAAGGTAACTTATAATGAGGTATAATTCTATAACATTGCTGAAAATGTCACATGATTTAGAAACAGCCTCCTTCCACTACTGTGTAAAAGACCCACGCATACATGACAGACCAAGTAACTATTAAGTGGCACAGTGGCACACATTCAATTTAGCTGGCTGGAAGAAAATATTCTCTCTCTAACCTTGCAGCTAGAGTAATTGTAAATGTTACTTGTAACAATAAAATAAAAATTTTAGATAGATGTGCTATTTTTAAGTAACTATTGTTCCTTTAAACTTTATAAAGGAAAACCTTTAAAATACCAAGTAGGTACCTGCGTATTTCCATGCACTACAAGCAATATTTTGAGGCTCTTCATGTGAACACTACGATCTAACAGTTCAACAGCTTTGTCCAAATCATCCTGTGTGGTTAACGGAATCACCAGCTATAGGAAAGGAAGACGAGAAACAAATGGGAAGAAGAGTTGGTATAAGAACTTGATAACATAACATTCCCCCCACCCGCCTGGACATTTTTATTAATTAAACAAAAAATTCTATGAAAATGCATGTTAAGGTGACAATGAACAGACCTAGAACATACCACATTTAAATGTAAAGCACAACCCTAACTTTGCCTTTTAGCACATATGACATTACAAAAAAAGCATTTGTTATTAGGTAACTACCCCTTCCAGTATACCGTGCAATGTATTGTCCACAGCTTTATCGGGGCATCAAACTCATCTAGCCCAGCTGGCTGGATGAGCAGCATGGGCCTGTTTGTAAGCTGATCAGGCGCACAGACCAACCCTGCATGCTGAATTCAGTGAACACGGCTAATCCCGTGTGCATAGCACATATGCTGCAGGCCAGCCATGTGTGTTGCATGATGCCTGGAGCATGAGCAGGATCCGGCCCCATGTACCATGTGTAGTTTACAGGGCTGGTCTGAAAAATGCCACATGCAGGTTCAGTTCAAGACCCATAGGCAGAACAGCAGGCTGGATGGTGGGGCTCCACAGACCAAATCCAGCCCATAGGCAATATCTTGGACACCCCTGCTTTAGAAGAGGCTACACAATTATGTAGCATATCTTTACTCTTCCACACAGCAGCTCCATTTAATACCTATACATTTACTCAGACCTGTTGAATAAAGTCTCTGATTTTTTATATATTTTTGTTTCTTACTTATTAAGAAATCCCATTGTTCAAAAAAATGTCAGACATGCACCTTCCCAAAAGGCCTAAACATGAATCTCACTAGAAATGCATGGACTGGTTTAATTATTTCTTTAAGAAAGTCACAAATTGCCAATTAAAATCCACTTGAAGCATAATTAACACTTGTTAAAATATAAACCAGATTTTAATAAACTTAGAAATGAAACCTCTCGTTTCTATAAAGAAGCTGCATTGGGCTAGATGAATAAACTTTCTCCACCTATGTCCTTAATTGCGTTAGTGATCATTTTACTTATTCTGCTCTGTAGCAATTAATGTTAATGTTACTCCAAGGAAATTACTTTCAAATACTGCATGTGGGGTGGGATAAACCTGACAAAAAACAAACTAAATTTAGAGACAGAGAGAAATATTAGTGCCTAAAACCCTCAATCATAAAGGGCAGTGCAGACAAGAAGTAAAGCCAGACCCTGCTCAAAGATCTTTGTTATAACTCACGTACACCAGGTAGGCTAACACACAGATGAGAAGGGAAAAAGAAAGAGGATGAGGCAAAGATGAAAGCAAGATTTTTCCATTATAGCCTTTACTTTCTAATGTGCATTTGTTAGGAATAACCTGCTACATTCAAACTAACACACTTCTGGCAAGATCGTCCCTTTATATTTTATCCAGAGCATGACAAGAGGAGTTAAAAAACTCCTGATCAACTGCCCAACAATCTGTTAGGGAGATTTGAGCTTACTAAGCATAATGTATATCCCCCTGCCCTTCAAAAATCCCCTGTGGAAATGTATTCAGTATTTAGGAATCAATCAGTTCAAAGAAGGGTGGTTGGTGAGGTACGTGGTGGCAGATGGACAAATACCTCATGCTGTCCCTGGCAGATCCAACCAGATAATTGTCCACATACAGAGTTATAAGGGCATGTATACTCTCTACTATTTTGCTAAAACAGGGACAAAAAAACCAGGGAAAATTCCTGAAAATGAATACTGACCCTATATATATACACTTTTCTATCAAGTCTCCCTCTACACCTCTGGCTTGCTTGGAAGAAGTAATGTGGGTTGGTCACAGGATCATAGGAAAGTAAGGATGGAAGGGACCTCATGTGGTCACGTGTAGTTCAGCTCCCTGCTCAAGGAAGGATCAACCCTGATTAAAGCATCCCTGCCTAGTGTCTGTCCAACCTGCTCTTGAACATTTCCAGGAATGGAGAGTCCATAACTTCTTTAGGTAGTCAGAAAGTCCCTCCTAATCTCCAACCTAAATTTCTTCTGCTGCATCTTGAGGCCATTGCTCCTAGTCCTGTCCCCTATGGCCACAAGAGAAAGCTCATCTCCATCCTCTCCATAATCATCCTTCAAGCATTTGGAGACTTATCAAATCATTCGTCCCAGGCCTCTACTCATTGCTCTTGGCTGCACTCTCTCCAATCTGTCCACATCCTTCTTGAAACGTGAGGCCCAAACTGAACACAGGACTCCAGGTGAGGCCTCACTAGTGCTGGATAGAGCAGAAGGTTCACTTCCCTTGATATGCAGGTGACACTCCTGTTAATACAACCCAGCATACTGTTAACCTTTTTTGCAACAAGAGCATGCTTGTTGGCTCATATTCAGCTTATGGGTGGCGTAAGTGGGTCACTCACCCAGCTAGGAAGCCAGTTATTTCTGGGTTCAGGGTTTACAGGCAGTTTTACATGGGGCAACCCTATCCCCACAGTACACAAAAGTGATAAAGTAAGCAGGCATGCAAATGACAAACAAAACCAAAACCTGCCGTCTTCCTTCAACCTCCAGGGACATGCTCTCTGCTTTACCCGAGTTTAGACAAATCCCATTCACTTAAAGAAAGACCAGACAGGAAGCCCTGCAGTACACAACAGAAATGACCAACTAACACCTCACTCTCCTGCAGCTTTCTTACAGGTGTACATCCTATAGCCCTCAGTCAATCCTAATGAAAATCAGTTAGATTTCAGTCTTGAAACGTATTAAGGTATAATAAACCGAGGATTTAGGAATTCAGAAAATTACCTCATTATTGCTGTAATGCAAATCCATAGGCTGTCCAAAAGCAACTTTAGCTTTAGCTGCAAGATCTTCTAGCTTGACAGGTCTTGAGAACTGCAGGATTCTGAAAAACAATTTAAGTGTTGGAACATTTTTTCCACTAGTATTAAAAGGATAAATTACTATTAATAAAATTGCTTGTGCATCTGATCCTAAATCTAGAGTTAGTCACATGGATTAAACACATTAAAAAAAAGAAAAAACAAATTTAATATTTTTGCCTTCTATTTTAGGTACATTAATGTATAGTTTAAACAAAACACATTTATTTCAGTGAAAAATTAAAAGGAAGCTCACAGTTAGTATACATAAGATTAGTGCATTATCAGTGTTTTACTTGCTTTGATGTTGCTTCCATTTTGTAGGCAAACAGGACATTAAACTATTTCGCGTCCTGCTGTAAGCACACCAGTATTCCAGATGCTTGTACATGTCAGTATTGCCTTGTTTAAGGGAAGCAGCAAAACAGTGGAGGCAGTTACCACTGAAGAGAGCCAAGAGGTAGGCTAGTAATGGCCTGATAAGCAAAAGAGCAAAATATTGCAGCTTTCATTTTAAGGAGCAAATAGATTTTCCTTATTTAGGAAGGCAACTTAATAAAATCACCCTTAAAAATAAATGAGAAGAGGGGAAGGGGGGGGGGGGGGGGGGGGGGAAGATGATACTGTATTTAACCAAATACATACATAATTATCCAAGGGCCTGCCCTTTGCTCCCCCCTGCCCCACCCCCACTGCCTTCTCACCACCAATGCTTGTGTGGCCTAGCACCTGCCCCCCATGCCTATAACCCCTGGTACCTGCCTCCCTCCCACCTCCTACAGCAGAGGCAGGCAATTATTTCGAGAGGAGGGCCACTTATTGAGTTTTGGCAAGCCATTGAGAGCCACATTACAGGCAGCCAGGAGCAGATAAATATTAATTTTCTAAATTTGTAGGGGCCCCGCGGGCTGGATAGAATGGCCTGACAGGCCGCATTTTGCCCACCCCTGTCCTACAGCCTTCCTCCTGCCACCGCTTCCCCTCTGGCTCCGGCCCCGATCCAGCCCAGGGAACAGAGCATGTGGCTGCTTCAGCCCCAGCCCAGCCAAACAGCAGTTGCTGGAGCAGCAG